TAAGCTGCAGCTGCCCCAAACAGACCCTAAGTTCCCGTTTGGGCAACTTATTTGGTATGTTTGCGCTCTAAAACACTGTTGGAGATGTTTGTTTTGTGTGTTTCAACCAGTTATCCAGAAATGCCATTCATGTTTTATAATAAACGTTGTCTTTTGCTTGACCTTGAGGCCTACCTTTTTATGTACAATAGTTAGGTGCTTGCCCTTTGTTCCTCTCTTGACCCCAGTTCTGATCTAGGTGTCTTCTCACTCGCCTTTGTCCCTCGAACGCTCCTATCTAACAATTAGCGATGTCTTTTACTTCCTCCTCCCTCCAACTTCTGGTTACTGTACTCTGTAAGTAATTTCGATGGAATGCCCTTCTATATGCAATTTGTGGTGGTTTATCGATGGAATGGTATCTCTATGCAGTTTTTCAATAAAATAGCTTTCTTTATGGTGTTTTTTTTTTTTTTTGGATAATTTGGAAAATGGGTGAAAGTAATTTGGGGTGAATGTGGTAGGTGAAAGTGAAATTTGGCTTGCTTACTTTGGTTTGTGGTTTTGGCTTGCTTATTTCTTATTGTGGTTTGTAGCCTCTAAAAGGAATGGAATGCAATTTCCTATATATTTGTTGGTTCAATGGCTTTATCTTTTATGTTTATGGTTGTTTGCTCCATCTTGTTTCTGGTTCATATGGGTTAGACTTGGATTTCTTTTTTGTTGTGACATTTGGAGGTTTGGTTGCTCATTTTATTCCACGATCTGTTGGTCTTTGTGGGTTGTACTGTTGCATCTGATGCTCCATTTTATGTTGTGGATTGCCCTGTTGTATTTTTTGTCTATATTATGTTGGTCTTTGACCTTTCTGAGTTGCCTAATAGAAGATTGGTCTTTGTGGGTTGCCTTATTGGGTTGCCCTGCTGCATTTGATGCTCTATTTTTTTGTTGTGGGTTGGCTTGTTGCATTTGTTGTTCTATGGTTTGTTGGTCTTTATCTTTGATCTTGGTGGGTTGCCCTATTCAGGGTTGGTCTTGGTGGGTTGCCTTATTAGGTTGCCATGTTGCATTTGTTGTTTAAATGTGTGTTGGCCTTGGTGTGTTGCCCTGTTGCATTTAGTGTTGGCTTGTTAGTGTGGTGGTGGTGGCTTGCTGGTGTGGCAGTGGAGGTGTGTTGGGTGGTGGTTGTGCTGAGGATATGGGTGTGTGTGTGTGTGTGTGACTGTGACGATTTGTGAGGGGTGGTGTGGGGGGGGTTGTA